ATGGTGGTAATATATGATATGGAACAAAGAGTGGATTTATATGTTGATTAGGACCAGTACCAGTATCACTATCAATACCAGGTGTGGACTAGTGAGGCTAAGGTAGGGATGATCAAGCATGGTCAAAAACATTAGGGGCCTAATGTGAATTAGCTCTCTAATGTGTCTCCTTTTCATTATTATGGAGATATCAATGAGCCAATGGAGGAGAATGATGATGTAGATGATGATGAGGGTGAAGATGTCTAATCCCATTGATATGATGACTACACTTTTGTGATTATTTTTTTATATTTTTATTTTTTTCATTTTTTTTATTTTATATTTATGTGGATCTGATGTTGAAAAATATGACTTATGTGCTTATGTTGTGATGTGATGAGGTTTTTATTTATTGTAGACTTGTGACATGTTATATCATTTCTTGTTATGTAATTCATGTTATTTATGTAGTTATTATGTGATGTGGTGTTTACTACAGTTTGTGTTTAACTTTTTTTTGTGCTTATATTTGTTTATTGTTATGTGTATATTCTCTGATCTGTTATTACTTACATGACAAATAAGAGTATATATCTAAATCTTATAGTTTTCTTTTAAAAATTGGTAGATTTAATTAGAATTCAGTGTGATCTAATAACAGGTAAAGAAAATAAGAAGAGGTGACACTAACCTTCATTTAGCTTTAAAAATTATTTTAATTTTTAAATGGCCGATCTCTACTGAAATTATTACTCTTCTATATAAGGATTATTATCCTAAAATTGACTACATATAAAATCAATTCAACAAATATATAAGATTTAATATATAATCGATTCAAATAATTTAATTCTCATTTAATATTAATTTAATTCTTAGTGAATGTACCTTAAATTATAATCTTTTGAATTGAGTTAAGAGGTAATTTAGAATTGACTTAGGAAAAAACTGGTATTAAAATTTAAAAAAAAATGAAAGGCTTAATCAATTATAATAATCCTTGATAAAAGTAAAAAAGAAAAAGAAAGATGAAAAGAAAAAAAAGGAAAATAAAAAAAATTCAAGTTTTAAACAAAAATATTTAGAAGCTTTAGAGGAGAAGCATGCACTTAAGCTTCAATTTAAAATTGGCACCTTACACCCTTTCTCAAAGTCAAAGATTAAAAAGAAAAACTCCTTAATTCTAAATTCAGAATATTTTATTTAAGAAATTTTATTTTAGAAAAGGAGAATTTCAGCTTTTCTGGATAACATGTATTCCTTCATCTTATTTTCTTTTTTGTATCAGAGATTCTTCCGGGAAAAGGACCATCGCATTGCAAACAAGTAAGCTTCGAACCCTAGATCTTTGATTCTTCCTTTTAATGGACGAATCAACTATAGCTGATTCACAAATTTCAACGCTACTGATACCCAATACCATTATCACTCCTCTAAAGTTCTTACTCTCTCATCTCAAACAATTCAATCAAAACCTTATAAAAACAGAGAATTATCATGTGTAGCGTGCACAAATTCTTAAAATCTATATGACAAATGGATTTGTCGTGTTCTTGGATGGGAGCTGTCCATGTCCTTCACCTACAGATAATTGGTTTCATATGTGGAATTTAATTGATCAGAATCTGGCTGCATCACTGTATTCCACCATTTCAGCTACAGTTCTATCTCACATCCTCAATCTACCCACCACCTCTGCTATACGAACAACATTGGAGCGCAAACTACAACCTACCAACTAATCTAAAGTGATCTAATTGAAAAATGAACAACAACATGTTTCAATGAAGGACTGCATAATGGTACAATATTTAATAGAAATCTACACATTGGTGGGTCAAATTACAACAACAGGTTCAAATCTAGATAAAAAGGATGTAATCTTATATGCCCTCAATGGCCTTCCAACATCATACAATGCATTTAAGACAACATTTCGAACTAAGCTTCAGCCCATATATGTCGATGACTTATATTCTCTTCTGTGTAGCGAAGGGATTAACATCCAAAATGAAAATGCCAAGGTCTCCTCTACCGAAGCTTAGATGGCTCTGAAGGCATCACATGCAAAAGCCAACATCTATAACAGAGGTAGAAGCAAGAAAAAAGGTTCGAACTATAGAGGTAGCTCAAGGACAGGATCTAGGGGTGGCCGACAATCTAGTCGCTCCAACACAGTTTGTCAAATCTATAACAAGGTAGGTCACTCAGCGGCTATTTGTTGTCACATGACAAATCTCGAATACACTCGTACGACTCAACCACAAGCTCTTCAAAATCTACATCCAAGGAGTGGTTATTGGATTCTGGAGTAATGAGCACTTCAATTCAGACATTAATCATCTGCAACAACCTATGGTATACAAAGGAGTCGAATAAGTAACGGCCGGCAATGGACAAACTGTTCCAATTGAGCAAAAAGGTGATGTGATACTTCCAACCCTAAATCATAAGCTAAAATTATCTCACATACACCAAACTCCATTGTTATCTCACAACTTGCTTTCCATTCATAAATTAACCAGCGATAACAACATCGTTGTGTCATTTGATTCTTCTGGCTTTTCAATTTATGATCCACGGACTCAAAATGTGCTTATCCAAGGTACCAGTTCTAAAGTTCTCTACTCAATTCACTCATCTGCACACTATCAAAAGCCTTTACTACATCTCTTTCCAAAGTGCAATATATTGAATTGTAGCACCGACTATGACATCATCTCCACCATCTCCAACACAAATATTCATCTACACCAATTTTTTTTCAGCATTTGCAACATTAGTAAGAGTCATAAACAACCTTTTTTTACCTCATGTAGGACAAAAATACAAGTTATTAGAACTTATTAATAGCGATGTATGGGGACCATCCCCATCTCTTATCAAGGTTATAAATATTATATTTCAGTTGTTGATGACTATTCTAAATTATGTTGGGTTTTTCTCATGCAAAATAAATCCAAAACAACATCAATAACCAAAAACTTCATTCACCTCCAACATCAATTTAATACAAAAATCAAACTTCTTTGTTGGACGGTGGAGGAGAATACAAAAATCATAACCTTAATCAATATCTTAGCCAAAATGCCATAATTCACCAATATTCATGTTGAACATAATGGGTTTGTGGAAAGGAAGTATCACAATATTATCGAAATGATTCGTGCTCGCAAGTCCCTTACAAATTATGGTCTAATAGCCTCCTTACGGTAGTGCATCTCATAAATTGCACGCTACTAGAAACACTCACTACAGATCTCTGTATGGACATCTTCACAAATCTCCACCAAACTACACTCATATTCATGTTTTTGGATATGCTTGTTATCCATGGAAACAACTTCAAACCTCACATAAATTTGAAAAGAGATCCACTCAATGTATTTTTGCTCTCTCCAACATAAGGACTACAAATGTTTAAATCCCACCAACAACAAAATCATAGTCTCTCGACATGTATTTGATGAATACACCTTTCCATTCCTTCAAAAATCAACACTTCCTGTCACAAAACAACAACCTAACTATTCTTTTATTCCTCCATGGCTACTTACTACCACCACATATCCATAAACCATTCAACCCCTTCCATTTATATCTCAACTGCCCACTTCAACTACACCTATACCGCCCACAACCTCAACTTCACCATCCTCATCAGATGACCACTAGATACAGCACGAGAAACATCACGAGAAACCTCAAACCCAAACAAAAGTTGAATTTATCTCATCACATTGAGCAAATCACTAATCCCACTTGCTATACACAAGAAATTAAACATTAGCAATGGAGACAGACGACAAATGAATTTAATGCTCTCCAAAGACAAGCTACATGGATCATAGTTCCACTCTCAAACAATCAGCCTATTTTGGGTTGTTGGTGGACATATACTACCAAACACAATTCAATGGGCACAATCACTAGATACAAGGCATGCCTTGTAGCTCAAGGACATCAAAGAGAATTTGGTGTCAACTATCACAAATCCTTCAGTCTGGCGGCTAAGTTCTCTACCATTCGCATTCTTATTACGGTTGCACTTCATCATCAATGAAGCATACTTCAATTTGATATCTCCAATGCTTTCCTCCATGGGACTTTGAATGAGAATGTATACATGAAACAACCATCGGAGTTTCATGACCCCCAATTTCCCAATCATGTTTTCCTATTTAGAAAGTCACTATATGGATTAAAGCAGGCTCCAGATATACTTATCACCGGAATAATCCTATTGATATCTCCCAACTCACTGATCGTATGGCACTCAAGTTTCAACTGAAAAATCTTGGACCCATCAGCTTCTTCCTTGCATTGAAGTTCTGAAATTAGCTACATCGTACTTCTTAAGTCAGGAAAGATGTGTTATGCAACTCCTTAAAACTGCTGGATTACAGAATTGTAAAGATTTGGTAGCCCCAATACCAAGTAAACAGCTTGCTCGACAATTACAAGACATTCCTTTACATAATCCTACCTTATAAAAACAACTTATATGATCCCTACAGTGCATTACAGTTATAAAGAAGGACCTTTTGTATGTTATAAAATGATTATGTCACATTATTAACAATTAATTCATTTACTTTGATATCTACAAGGTATAAGTCACTTTGGTTTGGAAATTAAACCGCAAGACCTCACTCTAAGAACCTATACCGATGCCAATTAAGCTGAAGATCACTTGGATCGCAAATCCACCACAATTGTATGCTCATTTCTAGGGACTAGTCCCATACCATGAATGGCCTAGAAGCAATCAAATGTTGCACAATCCTCCACAGAGGCCAAGTATCGTGCACTAGAGGAATTTGGCATCAAACCTATGCAACTTATAACAATGCACTGTGACAACATCTCTACTATCTCTCTAACAAACAACTCAATGTTTAATGCTAGGACCTAACATATTGAGATAGATTATCATTTTATAAGGGAACATATCAACTCCAAACAAATTCAGAAAAAAAATATACTCAATCTCAAAATCAACTGGCCGATATACTTACCAAAGCTCTCTCAAAACGCCGCTTCAGTCAACTTCGCAACAAACTTCAAGTTCTTCTAAGAACCATCAGCTCGCAGGAGGGTATAATCAGTAACAATGCCGAGCTTCACTAAGCTCACCTGTGATCACTTGAACATATTTTATTAGTCCATAACTACCTAAGGCTTCTCTAGAATCTTCATCAGTCTTCCTTTATCAATTATATATACCTGTAAAAGTTTACTGTTCATTAAGGAATGGGATTTCGAATGAAACCAGAAAAGGAGAATTTCAGCTTCTTTGGATAACATGTATTCCTTCATCTTATTGTCTATTTCGTTAACATGACTTTCCCCTGTCCTCTCAGTTTTTCCCCGCATTCCGTCTCTTCCCCGACATAAATGCGAACTTACTAAATCCGGTGAGAGGCGGATTTGTTCCACCATCACTTGCCAACTCCATCATCAAAAATAAATCTGAAATTATAAGATTTGATAAACCCTGCTTGAGGTAAATTTAAGTTACAGCTAAACACCATATTAAAAAGTAAAATTTATAAGCTAAATGAGCAATCTCCTAAGTTTTTGGCACAGCTACATTTGTCATTCGTAACCATAGTTGTTATGCTCTTAGTAAAACTCATTAGCATTAATTGAATAGCCTAAAGAATGATTAAAAAAGTAGCAACAGAAAAGATAACATGTATTTTCGTCAAAAATTTCCCCCTAAAACGTCACTTTTATGCCCTGTCAAGCTACAGCTGGTTTTTACAAAATTGAAGATTTCATACACAAAATCAGATCGCTGAGCGTATATTCAATACATTGATGTTACTTACTCTTCTCAAAAGGTGGATCATGCCCCAAAAATTCCTCCACAGTCGAAGGAAACCCAATCTCCCCGAAGGCAGCATCGTTGTCATCATCAGTACCCCAGTCCCTCCCCGCCAACGATACGGCTTTAGCCAGCAGAAGATGAGCGAGTCTCGCTGGTTCTTTCCTTTCCCGCCGGTAATGCACGATCCAACCATCAAGTCGCTGCATTTCTTTCTCGCAATTCGGCCCCTTGAGCCCTACCACTTTTCGGTAAAATCCACCTCCGCTACAGTACGAAGAGCCCAAGCCACCCCCGCAGTCTTCGCCGTCCTCTGATAAGCCTAGAAGACTTATGAGGCCATCAATTTCATCTTCTTCTTCTTCTTCATCGTTGACGTCGTCCTGCGCTGCCTCTGGAGGAGTCAGATCGTGTGCTTTTTCAGGCGGGATTGAGAGGAACTCCGGCGCTGGGTCGCTGCTTTCGTCGAGGGTGGAAGGTTTGAAGGAGGCGGGGTGGGGTTTGGAGGACGACAGGGGGGTAGAGAGGAGAGATGAAGGATGCCTGCGATGGTGGCGAAATGAGTTCTTTCTCGGAAGCCAATCTCTTCTCAACCTGCAAGAGTTGGGGTAGAAGAAGAATTAAAGTATTTTGGATTAGCATTGCGGAATGAAGATTGAAGAATAAGGTGGTAACTATTGCCTGATTCAGCGAGGTGAAGAAGCGGTAGTGAGGTGAGAAGGGCCGCATCGAAACCGGTCATGCAGAGGAATGGCGGCGCCCCTTCGCAAGTTTGGGCGGGGGAGTGCGAAGTACTGAAGTACATGGTAAAAGTCGATTTGAGGGCTTCTTATTATGTTCTTTCATTCATTTATCAAATTCTCACTGGATAATCAAAATTCATGATAAAATCTCAATCCATATTTTTCATATTTATCAAATTCTCAATGTTTTAATCATGACACGTGTGAATACATTTGTTCGATGGTTTAAAAATATCTTATGGGTGCTAGATTTTATAAATAGTAATGTTTCAGATGCTACGTATGTACTTATCCCTAATTTTGTATATGTTTTATTTTTCTTGATGTGTGTCTAATGTTTGTAATAAAATAACATCCTAACGTACTACAAGATCATGCACACAAACATAAAAGAAAAGTAGTTGGGGGGAGTCACCGTGATTTTTTAGTGGAATATCTTAGAAATGGAAATAACTCATAGGGTCTGGCATAGTTAAAAATATTCACTATATAATTGTGAGTGTATATGCTCACTCATCTCTTAAATTAGGGAAGATGAAATCATTATGTTGATGTACAATAGAAGTAAAACAATTATAGTTGTAATAGGCTGCAAAGGTTGTGGTTGATTGCTTTGAGGCAGTAGATTGTCATGAATGTTGTAGATGGTGGTTGTACTGTCAGTTGATCGTAAATGTCATAGTTGAAAGTTGTGATAGCACTTGGTCATGTCGAACGTATATGGCTACTCTAGAAGCGTCGATTGGTCATATAGGTTGTAGTAGGTAGCTGCATGAGCTGTGAGTCACATAGGCCTTAGTGGGTTACATAAGTCGTCATGGTGAGCCGCAACAATGTCTGTAGACCACAGAAGCCTGGAGTAGGAGATGCAATAATGTTCGTATTCAAGGAATGTCATTGCATTATATTTGGGATGCACGTTGCACTATATTCAAAGTGCATTCTCGTAGTGTATTTGAGGTTAGTTGTTGTATCGTATGTTTAGCGTGTTGTTGCATCAGATTTGATACACGTCATTGTAATGTGTTCGGGTGTATTCAAAGCGTATTGTTGCACTATATTTGATGTGCATTATTACTCCACTTTTGGGGTGCGTCTCTGCACCATCTTCAAGGTGTGTTACACTATCTTTGGAGTTTGTCATACCATATTTAGGGGCTTTGTTGCATTGTATTCGGGGCTCATTTTTGCTTCATCTTTGGGTACTTAGTTGCACCTTCTTTGAGTTGCATCATTGCATCGCCTTCGAGGTGTATTTCATAATATTCTAGACAATTCATTAATCCAGAAGGTGTTTCGTTGCTCCAGAGCATATGCTAAGGGGCTTCACTGAAATGTGTAGGGGCAACCAATGGTGGTCAATAGAGATAAGTGAGATGTGTTCAATGATGGTCGGTGGATGTTAGAGTGGGAAGTATGCATCAGTTCTTCATGTCAAAACATTGTTGGAATTCCACTCATTCATCTCCCCATCCATCTCTAGCTCTTCTCCTTCGACAACGACCCCCCTAATGCTCATGATGGGGCCACAGAGTTTGGGAGTGGCATCTCGTGTAAAGAAGGTAGGAATCCGAACCACTTCATCGGATGGCCTAAAATAATTTCCTTGATCAGATGAATTTATGTAGACATTTTAGTTTCCTAATGGTGATAGAATTGAATGATCTTTGGCTCATTGGAATCTTCTTATTGAGGTGTGATTTGTAGAAAAGTATGCTTAATTTCATTTATATTTTGCACAATTTTATGAAAGAAATTGCAATTTTAAAAAGGGTATTTTATGTTTTTCTTGCAAATAAAACAGGTAGTAAAAGTGGAACGAAGTAGAGAAGAAATGAACAGAAACGAAGCTCATATGAATCATTTGGAGATCCAAGAGACCGGGGCCTATGCGTCAACCATTGGCCGCCAAGGTGCTCATACCAAGCACCTTAGGCCTTAGCTCCACTTACTTGGGTGCCTAGGCGTCAGTATACAATCGAACTGACCTGGCGCCTAAGCGCTAGTCCAGTGGCGCCTAGGCGCAATAGTTGTTGGGCAGTTTTTCAACAATTTCTCCTCATGATGTTGGGTGTTATTTGATAAATTAAAAGAAGTTCTTGAGGGAGAATTAGGGGGTATTTTTTTCATGGAGAAGATGGAGAAGAAGGAGAAAAAGGTAGGGTTTGTTGTAGAGGAAAATTAGGATTTTACTTAAGAGTTTAGTGAGATTTGAGAGGTGTATTGTCAGGAGAATATTCAGCATAATGGCAAGCGTCTAGGAGATCCTAGGAGAGCATTTTCAGAGAATTGTAAAGAGGAAGAAGCTAAGTATTATGCATTTCATTTATTGTACTATTGTAAAACACAATTACCTAATGGATTTAATTTAAGTTAAAGTTGTTTTGTGGTATTTTCTCCATGCTTTGTGAGTATTCTTTTCACCTTTCTCTTGCAATGATTATGTTAGTTGTGGAGGAATAGTAGAATGCTTTTAAAGTTGGTTTTCAATATTTAATTTGATGATTATTCTTCAATGATTCATTTACTTTTCATTCTAATCAAGTGTTTAGTTAAAATATGTTGTGATCCATAATGACTTAGGAAAACTATAGAAGAATGATTAGAATATTCACGTTGAATTGTAGGGCATGAAACAAAAGTAAACTATAGAGAGATGCAAATAGATAGAGAAATAATATTTGATGGGTTCAAATTTGGGTTTAAGGAATTAAAACCAATTTAACCAGTCTTCCATATGTACTCGTAAGAGGGTAAAAAAGAGAATTACTCCTATTTATCACTAGTCATAATTACAATTTAAAGTATTCATTTTCCTACACACTACTTATATCATTGCTCCCAGATTACAATTTGTCACTAGCCACAATTGAAAAACCTAACGGAAACTCTGTCCAATTGCTCCCAGAGCCTCTCCCAGCATTCCTAAGTTCAATCTAACATTCTTCAACCACTCATTCCCTCTACTCGAGCCCAATTTAACCATTGATATCCAGGGCATTTTAGGGCCTTGTAATCAAACTCTTCAAAACTCCAAATTAATCATTCCACAAGCTTCCTCAGACATCAAAACCACTTCCCCTATTGAAAGCCCCCTCTCTCGAGCACTCTAACATAGTTCTAGACCAAACATGAGTCAACCTCCGATTAAAACCATACATAGACCTTACCTCAGCTCCAACCAACACTTGGAGGACGTTCGTGGACTCAAGGCAAACCTCAGAAACAAACCCAATCGAGGTCTCACCTCTTGGGCTAAGGTATAACTCAAAATCCCTAAATTTTGTTTCGATTTGGATCTTTGTGAAGAGAATTTGTATTTCATACGTATTTAACCATATAAATAGGTTCGTCTCACTTAGATGAAGGTGTAGGAACAAACCTCATGTGATGTGGTTGAGAATCAAACGAGATATTAGGGAGTTAGAACATGGACGGTTCTCGGTTTAAGGTGATCTGGGACGATGAACGAATGTCATATATTTCCACGTTTATCAAATGAACAGACCAGATTGCGTCGGACGAGAAGATGTTAAGTGAACCGCAGGCGTGCATGCTAGCTGAGGTGTAAAGCACAACAAATTAGCGGGCGATGCGTGATCATTCGACGACATTGAGTTTGTGCTGGTCAAAAGCCATACTTTTTATGATATTTCGTATTGTTTTAATTAAGAAAATGATAAAAAAAAAATAAAATGAAGGTCAGAAAATATAAAATCATGTTTGGTAGGTTTGCTGTAGTTAGAGGACTTTAGAAAAGATAAAAGTGAGGTTAAAAAATTTTGAATTGATTTTTCTTATTTAAAATTAATAAAAATTAATAAAAATTAATAAAAATTAAAAAAAAATGTAAAATAATTCAAATAATCACTAAAATGGACCAAATTGTAGGCAATCACATTAGAAGGCTTTATGAAAATTTGAAGGTCAAAAAAAATATTTTTAATATAGAATCTATTTTCTAAGTAAATAATAATTTTGTCTTTAAATAGTTATAATAAATGAAAGAAAAACCATAAAATTATGAAAATTCCTTTGGAGTGTTCCTTGAGGGCAGAGGAACTTAAGCAAATTAAAATTGAAGTTAAATTAAAATTTTTATTTTTAAGCTAATTTCTAATTTTGAAATAATTAAGAATATAAAAGAGATACCAAAAATATGAAAATACTCCAAATTATCCTAAATATCATCCTAACTACATAGAATAACTTAAAGATGTGTTTGTAAATTTTTGAAGGTGTAAAAAGGTGTTTTAGTAATTAAATACACTTTTCTTACTTTATGAATAAAATAATTATAAAATAAAATAAAATCATAAAATTATAAAATTTATTTTTCTAAGTTCCTTGAGGTCAGAGAGACTTGTAAAAAATTTAAAAATGAGTTTTTGAAAAAAAATATATTATTTTTTTTATTTTTTCATTAAAATCAATTAAAAATTGTAAAAAGTAAAATATAATTCAAAAATTCACCAAAATTGTCTCTAACGGTTCTCTGATCTGGGTGAATCTTCAATAATTTTCTTAAGGATAGAAGGATTTCTTAGTTTGTTAAATTAATTAACATTGAAAATCTCTATTTTTGGACTAAAATAATTTTTAAAAATTAAATAAAAAATTAAAAAAAATATATACTCTCCTCTGTTAATTTAATTAACCCATATGTAGGGTAACAACAAAGTTTCAAGGTCATTTGAGTTAAATTTGAGAGAATTATGAATTGGAGGGTCTTAAAGGTAAAATGGTAATTATGGAATTTCGAGCTTTAATTAAAATTTAGGTCAAACTAGAAAGTAAGTGGGTGATATTGAACATAATTAACTCTCTGAAATGATTAAAACATAAAGGTTA